TTACATTAAGGCATATTTCAGAAACATTGTTTGTGACAGATTGTACATGGCAATATACAAGAATAGGTTCTTTCACTGGACTTTGTATTTCCATTGTTAATTTATTGATCAAATATAACTAAAAAAATTAGAAAGAAATAACATTTATTAAAGCTGTGGATAAATATATACATAAAAGTATGCAACATTTTAATTTAAAAAGTATTTTTACAAAAAAATTAAGTTCTACAAAAATTTTAGTTCATTTTTTGATACCAAAACTCATTTAGCTCCAAATTTTAGCATTAACCTATTATATAAACAATAGAGTAAAATTGGGCACTTCAATTCCTGTGTTTATGTTTTCATATAGGAATTAGAGAATTATGAATAAATTAAAAATTTCAAAAAATAAAAAAACAGCCTTGTCTTTGCTGCAAAAGTGTTTTTTACCTGGCACTCTTACATAAGTAGATAGGAATTAAGATTTATAAAACAGTTAAGCTCATTTTTTACGCAATAAAATTTTATTTCAATAATAGAGTGCTAAACTGCCCAACCAATGTAGTTTCTTAATTTTTTGCAGAAATGTTGTTTTATGAAATAATACATTGGGAAAAGCTTTAATTTATGTAGGAATAACTAAAATGCATGCTTTTTTCCAATTAGCAGAGAGCTTAGCAAAATTTTTAGCTTGAAATGGAGCATGAATAGGAAAAATGTGGGCTCAGTGTGTTAATGAATTTCTTCTCTTTCCTTCATTTTCTAAATTAAATTTGTGCACTGTCAGCTCTTATTTAAATCATTGGAATTCATAACATTTTTTCTTAGATTGTCAAAAAAAGCTAATAAATCTACAAAATGTTGCTAACAAAGTTTTTAATTTGCCATAAAAGATATAGATTTAATTTCCCAGAAAAATAGTGTCAAGGGTTCAAGTCAATTTGTTCTTTATGTTAATCAAGTCTTGACCTGAAATGTATTATTCAGAGACAGAATTAGAGAAAAAATGGATAAAACATAAATATCAATGAATATGAATACAGCAAATATTTTGGACATTAAAACATTTCAAACAAACATAAATGTAAGACATTTATTATTAAGTATGACTATAATGAACTAACTTTTTTTATACTTTAGAAATAATTATTATTATTAGATAATTTAAGAGTCATCTTAATGTAATTTTTACCTTCAAATGATAGATTTAACAAAATTTACAAAAAGGCGACTTTTTTGTTTCCATTTTTAAGATTCGATAAAATTTGTTCGCATTTAAATAGTTATCACGTGAATTAATACAAACAAAACGCACATTTAACAAAAAGCGAAAATAACGTAGGGTGTCATAAGTAATAAAATTTTAATTTAACTACCAAAATTTTTACACTTTGTTGTTCGTAAAATTATTAAATGTATAAATGCCACACAAGATTGAATCAAATTTTAAGGTGGGATAAAATCAATGTTTTTTTTTCTTTTCTTTTTTACAGTTATTATTTCCAAATTTCCCGCAATAAAATACATTTTAAAATAGTAGATTGCAGCAGGGACGGACTGATAGAGGAATTGCAGAAAAGTGTGACAAGCACTCTGCATTAGCTTATAGCTTTGTGTTTCCAATAATGAAGCTTGTGGTTGAGGCTAAGTAGCTAGCAGATGTTGTTGTTGTAGTTTATTTACGCCGCACTAGACCTGCACATTGGGCTATTGGCGACGGTCTGAGAAACATCCCTGAGGCTTCCCACCCTGAAATATCCCACCCGCACACTGACCGCAGCTAGGGATGCTTGACTTCGGTGATCTGCTGGGAACCGTGTCTTAATGATCAGTCCACTGCGGGACAAATGGCTAACAGGAAAATGCAGTAAAAAGTCAGAACGGGTTGGAGCTTTGAAGAATTGGCAATCTAAATGAGCTATGGATGGGTGGTCTAATGTAAACAATAACAAGCGTCCTTAAACCGGAAGAAATTTAGAAAATTTCCGGTGTATCCCTCCGCTTATGTTATGACTACGAGGCGATGTGCGAACAAGTCTAATATTCTATGCAGTTTTGTTATTGTAATTTGGGTTCAAATTTAAGAATAATTATACCATTCATAAGAGCTTTCAGAAATGTATTGATTCTCAGAGGTCGTAAGGTCAAAAACAATTTTGGAAAGTTAATATCTCATTGTGAATAATTCTTAGGGTTTGCCATGTCTTGTATTTTATCCCTTATTTGGCTGCATTTAAATAAAATGTCGCCAAAAATATCTTTAAAAATGTCTTTTTAAAATAGCCTAATTAGAAAATATTCTAATGATTATAATATTAATATGATAATGAAAATTAAAGGCTGAAAGAAAGAACTCGGTGCATGTGAAATAATGCGAAAGATATGATGCAATAATATGATGGCG